TTTTGCAAGGAAAAGCCTCATTCAGTGATTGATTGAGGCACTGTGATTGGTTGACTAGTTAATTGAAAAGGCTTGTCCGGTTTTGTCAATGTGCATAAAGTGTTGCATGCTGCTTGATTGATGTATTTCTTGTGATTTAGTTGAATATATTGATTTAGGTGGTTCCTACGGATCCTTTTTCCTGTTTGCCCTATGCACTTTCTTGTAATGCATTGTCTAGACTATAGGGATCCTATTTCCTGTTTGCCTTATTCACTTTCTGCTAGTTCTCCCATTGTTCAACTGCAAATACAGGACTTTTGCATATCCTATATTGTATATTTCATGCGTGATTACTTTTTCGGTGCACCTTTAACTATTTTCACGTGATACTTGTCACACTAAATATGTGTCTTTCTTATTGTTCTTATTCTTTTAAGGAGTGTAATACATAACACAGTTTTACTGCTTCTCAATTATCTCTGTGTTCACCTATTGAGGACATAATCTGCAATCACTTTCAAGTACTGGGACCGTTTTGATGCATGAAATTCTTTCCGCTTCAGGAAGCATACATGCAAAGCAATAATTGGTTACCTCCTGCCTGGGCTATAGTGGCTATGATTATACTTGGTTTCAATGAATTCATGCTTCTTTTAAGGTACTTATTTCTACTGCACTTCCTTTATTTTTTCCATACTTTATCTTCAACCTAATTCAGTTTCTGTTGTCACAGAAATCCGCTCTACTTCTTCATTCTTTTTGTTGTATATTTATTTGGGAAAGCTCTGTGGATACAGATGGACATTCCTGGGGAGTTCCGGAATGGCATTGTGAGTACAATAATTGTTCCTTATTATCATTTATGGTTTCACCGTTTTCTTGAGCATAAGATGGGTTGTTTCAACCAACTGTTTCCTTATCTGAGCATCTGCTGCCTCTGTTTCCCTCCATGAATAACAAAAGGTTTTTCAAGATGGAGGTGATTGGGGGCACTATCTTATTTTCAACATCGTACTTTTTTAGGTTGTATGGACCATTGATATGTGTTCTATGACTTGTTTTCAGCTTGTCTCAAGCAAAATAAAAAATTAAAAATGCTGGAGTAAAGTTTTTCCTCTGTGGAATTCAAGATGCAAGTACTGTTTTCTGAACCATGGAAGAATGGATTCGAATTGAGTCTCCAGGGCTTTGGCCTAGTGGAAAGAGCATAGGGCATGATGTGTGGGTTAAGCGCACGTCATGGGTTCACACCGTGTCATGGGTGATGCCTGATATTTAAGTGGAGGAGTAATAAGAGGCAAACCCATTATCCATCCTATTTTGAACCGTGCACCACTGACCCTCGAACATTTCTCAGTTATCAAAAACCAAAAAAGTCCGAATGGGGTAGGGGAAAAAGTAAAGGAAGAGTGAGTGCATCCAGCCACAGTGCTGATATACTTGAAATTATGTGTTAAATATTAACATGTCTATATTGCTTGTTTGTGCTACCTTATCTGGAAATTTATGAGACTGTAAAATCTTATTTGGTTCTCGAGGGAGGTACTCTATAAAGAAGAACGAAAAATACTATCAGAAGTTATGTCCTTTTTGTCTCTCAACCGCAGCTACTTGCGACCCTAATGGTGGAGACACGCCTGTGAGCTTAGAGATATGACTCTTTTAGGTGAGCAAGGAATTGGTGTAGGTGCCTTATGACATGCCATGTTGGGGGTGGGGGGTATTGCTTGTTCATTTTGGGAGAGGAACAGCTTAGTTCATAGCGCAGGGAGGGTATGGCCTACGGTAGCCTTAAGCATTGGCAATACAACTTTTTTCTTTTTGCTTTTGTTTTTCTTTGGGAGAAGTTTGTTCTCTATCTTTGCAACATGTCTTCGTGCAGGTGATCTCAAAGAGCCTAGTTTTTGTTCGGTGATCATGCGCAGTGGAGTGTTTGATCATGCTGCAGATTGTTTTGTCATTGGTCCTACAAGTGGAATTTATTTTTTTTGCGATGACTAGAAGATTTGAACCCAAAACCTTAAGTATCATGGCTTTGCCTCATTTTGAACTTTTTTTTTTTGGTATATAAAGGATTTTATTGACCGAAGTGCCGTTTTGTACAAGTCTCAAAGTAAAAGCTGGCTCATGGACATAGTCCCATGATTCCAGCTAGCAAATTAACTTGAACATCCTAGACTATACCAGCAGCTCAAGGATAAAAATTAAGGGCATCTAGTCTACTAGCTAGTTTGGGTGTGAAACTTGCTCTCCTAACCCTCTCATGAACAATCAATCTAGTGATGGATGCAGCGTATCTCCTCTTGCCTTGAAAGACTCTAGTATTCCTCTCTTGCCAGAGGAAGCACACACCCAGCAACAATAACTCTGAACACTTCTGCTGTCGCATTTCGTCCATTCACATGGGCCATCATCCATTTCAGCTCATTGTCCCAGCTAAGTGCATCTGTTTGGTAATTCTGCCAGAGTAAGAGCTTGTTCCCTGATTCTTCCTGAACCTCACACAATGGGCAGGTATTCTGATCAATAAGCCTCCATTTCATAAGCCTATCTCGAGTATACAGTCGCTTCTGGATAGCCAGGTAGAGGATTAAAATCCACTTTGGGGCACCAGCGTTGTTGCAAATAAATCTTCTCCATGGCACTTTATGGAAGTCACCTCTCAAGGTCTTATACACTTGTTTAACAGAGTATGTAGTCGAGTTCAGTACTTATAGGCTGTCCATTCCTCTGTTCACTATCCTTGTCCACTTCAGCTTTCACCAATTCTACCACCTTGATACCATTCTGCACCTTAGGGGGTATGAAGTTGAGACTCATACCTTTCTCAGCAAGGTTATTCCCTGTAAAGAGTGTATTCCAGCCACTCTTCACATTTCTAGTTTGTCCATCACCACTAGTGGTCTGTTTGGCATCAACAGTTGTCCCTAGTGCAGTAGACTCTTCCACCGCTACTTGTTCCTTAGGGTTTGAGGAAGCATCCCCTCGCACCACGAAATGAGCAGCCTCATTTTGAATTTACGTGCTCATCAGGAACATCAACATACCCAGTGAAGTCCCACAAGTGGGGTCTCGGGAGGGTACGTAAAGTGTACCTAGACCTTACCACTACCTCGTGGAGGTAGAGAGGCTCTTTCCAAAAGGCCCTCGGCTCAAGAGCAGCAAATCCAAGTACAAAGAAGAAGAAAACAGTGTAGAAAACATAGCAACTAACAAAGAAAACAGTGCAAAGCCTACCAGAAAGGAACAAGAACAACAAAATAGTGCGATAGTGGAAACACATTTAACAACAAAATGTTTCGAGAAGACTAAAGAAACATTTGTGGTCAGCAGGAGACTGAATCTGACCCTATTTATTTCAAAATTAGCCTAATAGAGTTTGAATCTCATCACCGTAGCATACTTTTTGTCGGTGCTTTTGCTTTCTTTTTTTGATCTCCATCTATTTCCTACCTGCTATTATGTTAAAACTTGCTTTTCAAAACTCCTTTAATGTTATGCTTTTATTTTTTAATTATCACCTGGGGACAAGCTTTTGATTACTCGGAAGTGTGTTAGCAAGGTGAAGGGTTACCAGTTGTAGATTTCTATTGTCAGAAACACCCAATCTAAATACCATTTTTCTTCAAACTTTCCCTTTAAATGTCTTCCAAACAATGTTATTTTCTTTAGAACTTTGGGAAATATTTTTTCCAAAAGCTGTATGAGTGCCAACGTCATTTATTTTGTACTGCCATAAGTTCACTGATCAGTGCTTAGCCCTTTGAAATAGATTCGTGATCTTGAGAATACAATCTCTCTGTGGTTCAGAATTTTAAGATTCAACTAAAACACTTATTCTACTAGTCAATAATTTCGATAAATTGCAGCACAGCCATTGCCAAGATAACCTTGAACAGATCCCCAACTCATAGAATATTGAGATGAAAGTAAATATTAGTAAGATTTGTAATTAGAGGAGAAGAAGCATCGAGTAATTATAACTATTACTGCAGTCTGATATTCTTTAAGGATGCCTGCCTTGTGAACCTCCCCCCTTTCCTGATATTTTACTGAAATTGCTATTGTAGTACTGCAGAATCTTGTGTGTTATGATCTTCTCTGGATGAAATACTTTTTGCTTAGATCCCGTCTCCATTTAAGAGGGCAAGAGATTTTACTGTATGTGAGTTCACTGAAGTTAGCTTTCCTTTTCTGCAGCTTGCTGGACTTATTTCCATCTCATCACGGTTCCTCCCAACTGTTATGGATCTTCTTCGACGACTAGCTGCTGAAGCTCAGGGAAATCCTGCTTCTGGAACTTCCAGGTCTTCCCAACATGTTGCTTCTCAGAGCTTTAGGAGTCAAGTAAATAGTCCTAACCCCGTTTCGAGTTCAGTTCCCAGTTCATCTGTCTCATCCAACATCTCAACTGAAAATGACATTGAATACACGAGCCTTCAGCTGACACACAAAAGAGTTACTCAAGTGGAACAAGAATAATCTTCTCAATAAAGCAGAATAGTGTTAATACCATCTCCGCTAGAACAGAAGCTGCTCTTGTAAATGATGTTGTTTCTTTCTTAACCCCCATAGTCCTAGGAAGCCGTAGTGCTTAAAGTGTAGCTTTTGAAGTTTGTGAGTGCACTTGTTGTCTTGTTCAAATTTGTGTAATTGACAAAATTCTCTTTGTTATATTGTTTGAATCATGTTTTATGAAATCTGGTTGACATGTTCTCTTTTGTGCATTCTTTTCAGCTGCCTTCACCCCTTTTGGATAATGTTTTGTAATTGAGAGCAGTGTCTTAATAAATGGCACCTAAAATTCCAAGTTTGATTACACAAAGATCAAGGCAAATATGAAATATCATTCCAATTCAGGTATTGTTTTGCACTTGAACGGTTAAACCTTCACCCTAACCAGTTTTTAGTTGAGTACTAAAGCTACAAACATATACACAACACACAGAGAGTTGCTTTGTTGCATAACTTTTCTTAAGGTAATAATAATATTCTTAGACTAGTCAATACCCATAGCAGTTATGGAAGAATTTCACATAAATGGATCTTTCTCTATCAAGTAAGATAGAACCCTTCGAGTCTTTGACATTACAAGTCAAAATGACCTAAAATTTTCAGAGAAATTGACATTGAAAGCCACCAAAAAAGGAAAAATATAGGGTGGTTATGCAAAAAAAGGGAACAACTAGATCACAATTCTGAACTGAGATCACATCATTTGCTTCTTCTTTTTTTGCTTTCTTTTCTTCTTTTATAGTCTTTCAGTACTTCCCTTAGGATCATAGTGGAGGAGGTCCATAAGGTCTTGGAGGGCCAGGTGAACCCATTGGGTGACCAAAACAGTCTTGTAACAACCAGCAGCAGCAAAAAAAAGCTTAGGCTGTACAATATTAAACAGCAAGTCAGGTTAAAGAAACAACAATTAAGGTAAATTTAGCTATATTGAAGAATGTTTTACCAGGAGCCTATAGGGTTGCAAAAACTACTAAAGAAGCCACATGGTCCTGCCATCGGTGGTCCTCCCGGACTTTGAGGAGGACCCAATCTAGGTGGTCCTCCTGGTCCAGGCATCGGTGGTCCTCCCGGACCTAGAGGAGGGCCCCACCCAGGTGGCCCTCCTGGTCTAGGTCCTCTTGGCCCCATGATCACTTGCCTTTTTACTAGTACTAACAATCAAACCTATATGTTAATACAGACTTTGCTAATTGAGTCAACAATTTGTGGAGATTAACTATCTATATATACTGCTCTCAAGTCTCATCTACCCTTCTGCAATCAACTAGTCAAAAGGTTAAGGCTAACCTAATCTTCTTTTCTACTACCTATACCTAGAGTTTAGTGCAGGTAAGTCTGACGCAGCAAATTTTTTATTTATAAATTTTTAAAGCAATTCCAAGCTAATACTAGGAAAAAGGCATAAATTCACCTCTGAGTTTGTCCTATGGTGACCTTTTACACACCTCAACTAATAAAAAGTGAATTTGTTATTTAACCCCTAGACGTATAGCACCACTCTCACAATGGGAAGTGTATCATACTTGCGCCACATCAATGTCATCTCATTGCCACATTAGATATCATGTCAGATTTTTTGAATAAAATTCTCCATGTCATTTAATTGTTTCTTCTTCAATGAACATCACCATGAAACCATTATCATTGCCGTCATATTAGTATCAAATCTATATATTTCACCATAAAAATCAAAATAGCCGCTACAAATTTCACCAATTACGATCAAACCCACACTATCACCATCGTCCCCACAAAAATTATAAAGATCCGCCCTAAAATTTGACACTCATAAACAAGCTCATCACCAAAATTACATCATCACCAACAAAAGGTACAAACCCATCACCAAATATTACCACAATCATTGTCAATATCAATTTTTTCTTCTTCACCGCCTTCAATTCCCACTTCTTTGCCACTAGTCACCAACAAATCCATCATTATATTTTATTGTTGAACTTGAATTAGGATGTTTGAAGTTGAACTTAGAAGTTTTTTTTTTTTTTTTTGTATAAATTTTGAACTTATACAGAAATACCATTTCTCTAACTTCAATCAATTTGAGTATTCATTATTTCTTGGACAAAATTGAAGAAGCAAATATGTATACCATAAGGGAATAACCCGTAGAAAAGAATGACAGTGATGATGAAAGTGAAGAGTGTAATAATCTAATTGATGATCCTAACTCCTCTCATAAATCGTCCATTAGATGATCATCAACAGATTCAGTACTATCAGTTTCACATTTAAATTTTTTTATTAACTTTGACAAATAATATGTATTTTTTTGTTAATTTGTTTTAGCAAACAACTTCTGCTATTTCCTAAAATCACTTATATTTCTCTCAAATTCTTGATCAAACACCCCACTCCCCTAAACTAAGCACCTTTGGGGGGGGAAAATGACTCCCTCCATTTTAATTTGTTTTGGCCTACATTCTATTTTAATTCGTTTAAAAAAAAAAAACTTTTTCCTTTTTAGTAACTCTTTAATTTTAACTTTTTACATCACATATTTAAGACCAAGATTAAAAGACAACTTGGTACATTTAACGCATATTTAATTTTAGACTACAAAATTTAAAATTCTTTATTTTTGTAAAATCAGTATAAAATCAAAATAGGCCAAATAAATTGAAAAGAAGGGAGTAAACAATTTTAACCTCCTAAGAACATCATAAAATTTGAAGGTAGAAAAATTGTTTCCTTATATACTCAATTCAAGTAAAACATTAAAAGAATGTATGCAAAGAGAATATATTAGTAAAAATAATAGAGAAAAAGAACAATAGCAACAAATATACCGATAATCGAATCAAAGAAAAGAACAATTAATCAAAATAGAAGCGTGAATGAATACACTCATTTCATTTGAATGAATAGGAAGACATTTTGTTTGCCAGTTTACAAGCATGTATGAAAAGGGAGTACAATAGTAAAGAAGCTACGCGAGTAAAGAATACTAACAACAACAAATAATATGATAATTGAACGAAAAAGAACAATAGGTAATCAAAAATTGAATCAAAGGGAGCAACAGCTAATCAAGATTTTTATTTGAATCAATAGCAAGACTCTGTTTTGAGTTTACTTGTATGAATGAATAGTTCCATTACAAAGAATCAGATATTAATTCGACAAATGTGTTTCTCAGTATCTAATTTGAATCAATTTGAGTATTCATCATTTCTCTTGAGAGACGGTGATTCAGAGATCCGGCATATCAGTTCCGCCATTGTTGACCTTTAAGTTCGATTTACTCAGTGGTACAAATGTAGTACCATTCTCCTGTTGATACGGCGATGGTGTTGCTGAAATTGATGGTGGATGAGCCAAAAAGACGAGATGAACTGGACTGATTCCGGCATATCAGTTCCACCATTGTTGACCTTCAAGTTTGATTTTCTCAGTGGTACAAATTAAATGTAGTGCCGTTGGCCTGTTCATACAGTGGTGGTGTTGCTGAAACTGACGGTGGACGAGCTGATGCCCAAAAGTTGGATTTTCTCATTGGAGTTTTATACTCTGTTTTCTCCTGTAATGATTTCGAAACCAAAAGATAAAGAAGATGGGTCCTGTTCAGACGGAGATCAAAGTTTTCCATCTCATCATCATTCTCACTGTAAAACAAGAAAACAGAATCATTAATTGAAAATTCAAGAACAGAGAAAGAACTCCATGTATGAAAATCAAAAAAGAAGAAGAGAAAACAGAGACCCCATGCTTACCAAAAATTCTGTAGTAAATCAAAAAGTCGAGTAAGAAGAGAGAAGCAATGATGGTAATAACAACACACATCCGTAGAGCCATTTTCACGGAGAGCCAAAGAGGGAAAATTGGTTCTGTAACTTTTGGATCTCTCAAGAAGAAGAAGAAGAAGCAAATCTGAGCGGTTACTTATGTAAACAAAATTCAGTTACTTAAAAAGGCGGGAGACCTTTGTTACTGGCTTTCACGTGGCAAGTTTTTGTTATATGGCATATGTACGCAATTTTGTTTAGCTTCCGTTTGGATCTGTGATATGAAAATTATAAATTTTAATTAGCTTTGGACATGTGATTCAAAATTATGATTTCAAATCATAATTTAATTAAATTTTGTAAAAAATGACTCATGCTCGACGTGATGAAATAATATGTACCATGCAAAAGAATTATATTAAAGAATAATTAATTTGACTCATCTCCATCTGCATATAGTTTTGGCTAGTCTTTTGTATTCATGACAAGTCTAAACTTATTTTGGATCTTGTACTCATTTTAGTAGCTTTGTACCGTGGTCTACAAGGTCTGGGATTGAATCTTGTCTTGTTGTACATATATTTATGTTATTTCTCTTCATTTCTATGTTTATTTCCCTTTTATGTTGTGATTTCCGTTGATTTGAGGTTTTCTGCCCACTAGGCATATTACACGATCACACCAAATCGATCGTTACATAAATGAGTCTTTTCGTGTTATCTAATGATGAGTTTAAACGATACGATACAATAAAATTTAAGTAACAATCAAAATAAATATTGTATTTAAACTAATAATACAATACAATACAACGGGTAATAACCATCCAAAGAAGGTGTAATTGAAATAAAACACTAAGGGGTCATTTGGTTTGAATACAAGTTATGTTGGGATAAGTTATACATGGATAAGTTATGTTGGGATTAGTTATATTGAAATTAATTTTTATTGCTTGTGTGGTTTGTCATTCGCAAACTTATATTTATTGCATAATTTCTAAGAATAAGTTGTTTGTTTACAATAATACCCTCCACCTTATTTAGTTTTTTTTTACATTTTCTTTGCAAGCTTTAATTAGTTATTCATTCTTAAAGATAAAATTTTCATCTTATTTAGCTTAAATATTTTTTTGTGTGCATTTCCATGATCGTGCCGTGTGTTTTTAAAATTGAACTTTCATCTTATCTAACTTAAAAATAAAACTTCCATCTTATTTAGCTTAAAAATAATATTTCCATCTTATTTAGTTTTAAAATAAAACTTTCATCTTATTTAGTTTAAAAATAAAACATTCATCTTATTTAGCTTAAAAATAAAACTTTCATTTTACGTTTATTAAAGTAAAAGAAATTTTATCACTAAAGTTATCCACATTTTAATTGATATATAAAATATAGTTTTTAAGTGAGTAGTAAACTATTTAATTAAAAACATGTAATTTAGTAGTGGAGTGAACATTTTAAGAGAAATCAAAATATAAATAAACATAAGAATTAGGCAAATAAATTCAACTTCTAACATATTCATAAATAAAAATTGTAGTTATAAAATGTATTTTTTAATAGAAAAATATATTATCATAAGAACAACGAATAATTAAGATTGTGAATGTTATTATAAATGTTGTTAAAACTTATGTTAATATACATGAATGTAAAGTGGTGTAGCAAAGAGATTTTTGTTATTTTACATACTTTGTCGCATGATAAGTTTTCTTGGGATTACTATTCCAACCCAGAGAGGGATAACTTATCCCAGGACTAATTGTTAATCCTGGCCTTTGTAACCAAACAACAGATTAGAGGCCACTTAAAAATTATCCAGGGATTAATTCATTTTATCCATCAACCAAACGACGCCTAACAACAAATAATATGATAATCATAAAAGAACAAGAGGTGATCAAAATCGAAGCAAAAGATATGAAATGGAAGCCTCTGTTTATCAGTTTACTTATCAATAGATCCATTACAAAGTATCAGATATTAATTCAGTAAAAATTTCAGCATAGAAATGCATCATTTGTTGAACTTGCAGCTCCATTTCTCTGAGGAGTTTCAGAATGCATCAAGAATCTTCGTTTAGCTGCAACCAGAGACAGTGTGTGCCGCCCCAGAAGGCGTTACATTAAAATCCAGCGTTTTCAGGGGCGAGGCAAAATCGTCGGGTCTCAAACAGCGGACGAATTTTATTCCGCCTTTCGGAGATACTTTGGAGACCCCTGATGGGCAGGTGGTGACCATGGCTTTCTGCCAGCAGAGGGCCCAGCAGAGGGAGGAACACTCCACCATGCCCCTTGACTTGTAAAGACACACTTGTAGGCCATTATTTTAGGGGAACTTGTCCCCAACGTTTTAGCTTAGATTTTCAGCCTTTAGACATATATTGTGGAAGTTCATTTGTATGAAGAACTTAGAGAAAAGAAATAT